GAGGTGTGGGAAGCTGCAGTCAGTGTGCTGCTCAGGTAGTGTGGGTTATAGGAGGTGTGGGGTGCTGCAGTGAGTGTGCTGCTCAGGTAGTGTGTGTTATAGGAGGTGTGGGGAGCTGCAGTGAGTGTGCTGCTCAGGTAGTGTGTGTTATAGGAGGCGTGGGAAGCTGCAGTGAGTGTGCTGCTCAGGTAGTGTGGGTTATATGAGGTGTGGGGAGCTGCAGTGAATGTACTGCTCAGGTAGTGTGGGTTATATGAGGTGTGGGGAGCTGCAGTGAGTGTGCTGCTCAGGAAGTGTGTGTTGTAGGAGGTGTGAGGAGCTGCAGTGAGTGTGGTGCTCAGGTAGTGTGTGTTATAGGAGGTGTGGGGAGCTGCAGTGAGCGTGCTGCTCAGGTAGTGTGTGTTATAGGAGGTGTGAGGAGCTGCAGTGAGCGTGCTGCTCAGGTAGTGTGAGTTATAGGAGGTGTGGGGAGCTGCAGTGAGTGTGCTGCTCAGGTAGTGTGGGTTATAGGAGGTGTGGGGAGCTGCAGTGAGTGTGCTGCTCAGGTAGTGTGGGTTATAGGAGGTGTGGGGAGCTGCAGTGAGTGTACTGCTCAGGTAGTGTGGGTTATAGAAGGTGTGGGGAGCTGCAGTGAGTGTACTGCTCAGGTAGTGTGGGTTATATGAGGTGTGGGGAGCTGCAGTGAGTGTGCTGCTCAGGTAGTGTGTGTTGTAGGAGGTGTGAGGAGCTGCAGTGAGTGTGCTGCTCAGGTAGTGTGTGTTATAGGAGGTGTGGGGAGCTGCAGTGAGTGTACTGCTCAGGTAGTGTGGGTTATAGGAGGTGTGGGGAGCTGCAGTGAGTGTGCTGCTCAGGTAGTGTGGGTTATAGGAGGTGTGGGGAGCTGCAGTGAGTGTGCTGCTCAGGTAGTGTGGGTTATAGGAGCTGTGGGGAGCTGCAGTGAGTGTCCTGCTTAGGTAGTGTGTGTTATAGGAGGTGTGAGGAGCTGCAGTGAGCTTGTTGCTCAGGTAGTGTGGGTTATAGGAGGTGTGGGGAGCTGCAGTGAGCGTGCTGCTCAGGTAGTGGGGGTTATAGGAGGTGTGGGGAGCTGCAGTGAGTGTACTGCTCAGGTAGTGTGGGTTATAGGAGTGTGGGAGCTGCAGTAGGTGTGCTGCTCAGATGGTGTGTGGGTTATAGGAGGTGTGGGGAGCTTCCAGGGGTGTGCACTGCTCCAGGTAGTGTGTGGTATAGGAGGTGTGGGGCTGCAGTGAGTGTGCTGCTCTCAGGTAGTGTGTGTTATAGGAGGTGTGGTGAGCTGCAGTGAGTGTGCTGCTCAGGTAGTGTGTGTTATAGGAGGTGTAGGGGACCTGCAGTGGCGTGCTGCTCAGGTAGTGTGGGTTATAGGAGGTGTAGGGAGTTGCAGTGAGCATGCTGCTCAGGTACTGTGTGTTATAATAGGTGTGGGGAGCTGCAGTGGGTGTGCTGCTCAGGTAGTGTGTGTTATAGGAGGTGTGGGGTGCTGCAGTGAGCGTGCTGCTCAGGTAGTGTGGGTTATAGGAGGTGTGGGGAGCTGCAGTGAGTGTGCTGCTCAGGTAGTGTGTGTTATAGGAGGTGTGGGGAAGCTGCAGTGAGCGTGCTGCTCAGGTAGTGTGTGTTATAGGAGGTGTGGGGAGCTGCAGTGAGTGTGCTGCTCAGGTAGTATGTGTTATAGGAGGTGTGGGGAAGCTGCAGTGAGCGTGCTGCTCAGTTAGTGTGGGTTATAGGAGGTGTGGGGAGCTGCAGTGAGGGTGCTGCTCAGGTAGTTTGTGTTATAGGAGGTGTGGTGAGCTGCAGTGAGTGTGCTGCTCAGGTAGTGTGTGTTATAGGAGGTGTGGTGAGCTGCAGTGAGTGTGCTGCTCAGGTAGTGTGGGTTATAATAGGTGTGGGGAGTTGCAGTGAGCGCACTGCTCAGGTAGTGTGGGTTATAATAGGTTTGGGAAGCTGAAGTGAGCGTGATCGTACAAGCAATATTATCACAATGCTTTATTTTAGGGACTTTATTAATTTTATTGGATGATTGTCAAATTATTATGAAAGATTCTTTTTTTACACCACCGTCCTGCAACGTCCGTGAGAACCCCTTGTAGCTCTCTGCATTATTCACCGTAATTTCATTCCTTTATCACTGATTAAACCATGGCCTGTATGTCTTGAAGCACCTGCAGGGTTTCGGATCTGCAAACACAAGCTCAGTGTATCTGAGACTAATTAAATATGTTTTCTTTAACCTTGCTGTCAGAGGAGCGAAAAGGGTTGAAGGCCATTTGTGCAGCTTGATGCTGGATCCATAGGTTCTCCATGCCACGGGCGTCCAAACCTATCACTGACATGTCTGAGGAAGGGTTGGTTTTCTGAACTGTTTCTGAAATAAACACAGTTACATTCTGCTCCTTAAACAGCCAGCCGGCAGATGTGATTATTTCTCTTAGCGTTCATCCAGAGCTGGGCTTCTCAGCGTATGCCTGCAGACATCGAGCACAGTTCATTTGGCAATTGAAGCACAACTGCTCTGAGCACATTTACTAGCTGCTGATATCACTTCCACACAATGAACCTTCCACTGATCCCACCATCCAAAAATAGCCTAGCCAGCGGTGACACACAGCACAGGCTGTCAGCGGAGTGCGAAGCCCACATCTGCTAAACTGCTTCATACACTTATTCTTTATCCTTGGCTGGGTTGTCTTTGGTATTATTTTTCCACTTTAACCCTGTAAGTGCCAGAGTGGCAGAGAGGCCATGCCTTTCACACGATAGTTAGCCATTACTGGTCCTTAGAGAGGTAATTATAACATAACATAGATTAATAGCGCTTAATGGCTGGATCGGTGGACATAAGTGAGGTCACTAGCTGCAAATTAACAGAAATTTTGTTCCGTTAATTGTATTAACCAACCACCTACAGACATGATGAAAATACATAACATGGGACCATGGGTTGAAGTTTATTTATTATTCCTGGGCTTTTCATACCTTTTTTGATTCATGGGCTTTCTACTTGCATATTTTACTCTATTCTAGACTCTTTTCTGGTTAGAAAAGGGATTCCTGGGTCCAAATGCATGCATTCAGCATTTATCTATGTCATATATGTGTTATTTACAGTAAGTGTGTGCCTGTACCTAGACATTGCTCCCATAATAACAATATTTTATATTCGTCCACGGAAGAACCAGTGGTTGGAATGTTGTCATTCACAGTTACATAATAAATTCTTTACCCCAGCTCTGGCGTCTGGCGATGTATCAAACAGAATGTGAAATCAGTTTATACCCCAGCATCACATCCATTAATGGTGTGTAGCGACATGCAAAGAGTGCCCAGAGTCCGTGCTATCATTAAACTAAATCGACATCTTGTCCTTCATCTCTCCGACCCGTATTGCAGTGACCGAGTGCTTCTTGTATGGGTTTATCACATTTCACACTGCTGGATGAGAGCTACAGTTCAGCCGTTTTATAATAGTACTCTGCTATTTAGTGTAACGGTGCTTGCTATTGCTCAATATTCTAGAGCTCTTATAGGGATTCACAGGGATTCTCAGAATTGTTTTTGACCAAGGCACAATTCAATGAAAAGAGGTGCAGCGATGACTATCATCCCTTAGTGCAAAACAAACCATGGATATAATGTGTAGTGAATATCCCAAACCTCTATAAATGCCTAGCATACATGGAACAAATATAATATAGTGTAGTAATGTATTATGTTTATCATAAAACCATTCACAAACAAATATGCACACACTGGGCCAGTTAACCTCCACATTAGAGTGTTAATGTTTAGATTCCTGCTGTTCCCCCTCGGTTTGGCATTGGGGCACAGAGCACAATTGCCAAACTCTGCCAATTGAATGTTTCTCATACCAAAGTATTTTATCCAAAGTTTCATGAGAAGCATTAGGAGCGTCCTGTGTCGTCATGTAGGGCGTGATTACACCAATTGTAAACACCTCCAGTTTTAAAAGAAGAGGCTTTAGTGGCTGTCAGACTAACATCCAAGAGGTGTGTTTGACAAATGTAATACCTTCTCTCAAAAAATAAATAAATTACATTTTAGAATTGTTATTAGTAAGTCACCTAAAACTTCTCAGATCATCCTGGTCCAACCCTCACTCACACCCCTAAAATTAAAGTGTGCCACTTTGTCCATTCGAAATGATGGGAGGAAAGCAACAGCTACACTAGCACTGGTCATACCTCTCCTCTTGGCAAAATCACTAGAAGGGAAGTAACCCAAAAAGATCCACTCTTAACTTCCCAAGAGAGAAGTTTTATAAAAGATAAGACATAAAACATATGGAACACAAATATACTCCTTGGAGTAGTGTGCAACGTTGTAGTTTATCAGAGGATAAAACCTAGGCATATAAAATAGGAGTTATTTAGTATTTTAGCAGTCCCCAGATTTTTGCTGCTGATAGGGTTTAATTTACTTAAAGCTTTGGACTTTTCAGTCACCCATGTCCCCAATGAGTCTGCTTATGTGACATGTTTTAGGTCTTAGTTTGAATTAACCATCTCTATGAACAGGGTATCTGTATATATTTGTATAATGTTGACATATCCATTTTCTAGCATTTCTTCATAACAAAAATCTTGCATTCCTCATATTAATTTTCAATCAGAGAAGTCTCTCTGTTTTCCAGTATTGGGCATTTTTTTTTTGAAACAGATGGCCAATATTGCACCTCTTATTCTGCATGGGGACCTACTGTTTATATAGAAATCATATTTTAAAAAAATCCACTTTTATTGAGTACTGCTTGCTCAAACGCCTGGTAAATAATAACGTATTATGCTATAATCAGTTTGCCTGGTCTGACTACTAACTGTGAGAAGTCCACACCCTGAGCTGTATTAAAGGAATACTCCAGGAACCAACACAACACCTACACATTTGATAAGCTTTGTGTCATAATCATGCTTTAGTTTTATCCACATTTAATACTGTTTGCTTAAAATATGTTTAAAATATGCTTTTCTGGAGAATAAAGTAAAATAAATAATGATAAAATAATAAACATTAGGTGTGGCTAATGGGATGAAGTTATGCTCCTATTAGCTGCAATTTGATGGTGTTGTTTGCAATAATAACGAGATTTAAATTTGAGTAAACACAGCCCAAACCTATCAACTGTCCCTTTAAGGGTTAAAACAGTTTCTATGTATCACATGTCTATATGATTTGGATTCTATTTATTATTTGTCTATATATTTCATACAAGAGCTTACATGATGCCATTGCTACATAGTGCATGTCTAATTCAGAGAGGACCATTTTGAACTTGACATTATTTTTATAGTCACCCTCCAGATGTTGTATAAATTAAAAACATCAAAAATGTTTGAGAAAGCAAAGCCAGGAGACGGCAAACAGACGGCAGAGATTGTGGAAGAAGATCCTTTCGCCATCCAGATGATGTCGTGGTGTCCAGAAAGTAGAGTGTTCTGCGTAGCTGGTGTTTCGGCTTATGTCATAATCTATCGATTCAGCAAGCACGAAGCTGTGACCGAAATAGCGGTAAGTGTTTGGATTCACACAAGTGAATATTATTCATATTAATTGTGTGCTATTATTGTGTGAATATTACTGTGTGACTTAGTAAGGAGCACAGCACGTCGCAGATTAAATCGCCTTCCGTATAGACACTCTGGTAGATATTACACATTTGTTATGGTATAGTGGCAGCATATTTTCACAGGTAATCAACCTTTTGTAAAATTAGATATTTAGCAGTGTTCAAGTACCCTATGTCAGGTCCCCTGCCTCGGCGCCACTAGCTGCGGCCTTGCTTACTTCTTCACCGCGAGCAGCGCTATTTGGTCCCTGTTCGTGGCGTGCGGCTTTCCCCGCCGTTGTGCTCTATACTGACAGTGTTTCTGACACTGCACGCTCCAGAGCAGAATCCTTATATGTGTGCCGGACCCGGTCATGTGACCCGGCACACAGTGATGACCTCAGAGACTACAAGGGAGGGAAGAAACACCTCCCACATGTTGTGGTTAACACTAATTGGAGGTTAGCCAATCAGACACACCCTGTGTGTATAAAAGCAAACCCCCTCTTGCCTCAGTGCCCTGTTGTGGTCTTTGTTTAGCCCAATGGCGCGTTATACTCTCTTTGATTAATTGGTTACCGAATTTTGGCTTGTCTTACGTTTAGAAATACACAAAAGTAAAAGACAGATAAGGGTTGCGCCACATGCAATAAAATGAAATAAAATATAATAAAGTGAATAAAAATAATACTGTGAGTCTTATTCCAGATGTGCAAATTGTCACATATGCGATAGTCTCTTATTCAGGAGGTAGGTTCAACTGCGGGTCTTGTAGTCGTGGGTCTCCGTATGTGGATGAGAAGAAACACAAAAAAGACCTAATAGTGCAGTAAGCCAGGGCTAAATAGGCCTGTTATTAAATAATAGTTGACAACAGATCACATGTTCATATGGAGCTTTCCCGAGGGAAAAATTAGTACTGTGTGGAAATATGTGGTAGCTGAAAAATTCAAAAGGTACTATAATAACGAAGAGAAACATGACATAAAATATACTTTAGGAATTAAAGAGACACTGTAGCCACCAGAACAACTACAGCTTAATGTACAGTATACAGCTTAATGTTGTCTGTACTTTTTGCAGTAAGCACTGTTTTTTTTCGGAGAAAAGGCAGTGTTTACATTACAGTCTAGTGATAACTCCACTGGCCACTCATCAGAAGGCTGCTAGAGTTGCTTCCTTGGGCAGTTTAGAATCTCTGGGCATGTTTAGTATCTCTACAGTCAATAACTCAGATCTGCATGGAGTCGCTGAACTTTCTCTATGAAGAGATTCTGATAGGCCAGGGTGGTGTTTGGCCCCACCCCGCCTCCTACCTCCTTGGGTGAGATCATCAGAATTGATGATCTCAACCAATCCAATGGCTTCCTATGGGAGCATTGTGACTGGCATAGATCATCACTTCTGATGATGTCAGCCAGGAAAGAAGATCAGGGGCAGAGTCAGTATTGGCACAATGGAATAAGGGTACGCTTTTACTATATTTAGGGTGTCAGGGGGGGCTAGATAGTATTTTTAATACTATAGGCTCAGGAATGCATGTTTCTGTTCCTGACAATATAACATTCCTTTAAGATAAAGAACTGAGCTAATAAAACAGATATCATAGACTGAACACAGCCAGAAAACAGCCACATCATTCAATACAATGATCATGTTTCTTGTTTCCTGTAAGTCTTTAGAAGTTCGCCTGCAGTATGAGGTTGAAGATATGATCACCCCGGACCCAGACTCGATCCCACCATTTCCTGATTCTTTGTCGCAGCCTCTCACCTCGAAGAGCAGGAACCTTTCTGGCAGTGCCAACATCGTGACATGTGAGGGGCCCCTGAAAGACAGCATACCATGTTCAAAGTAAGACAACAGTTATCCTTACTTCAACAAGTAGCAGAGATCCACTTAACCTGTATGAGCAATTTAACCGTGTTTCAATTCCCAGAGTCCCCATGCCATACTGACATTTAGAAGATCGAGATAACATGGAATAGATTCAGATACAGAGAATTGTATGTGCTCAAGAGACCTTTTTATACAAATGGTAGTACAGCTTCCCTAACACAGAAACAGCAGGATACTAGAAGTCTGTTCTTAACTGCTCCATTACTGAATGCTACAAGCAGAGATCGAGCCAGATTGGAGTTATTCACCAACAACAATTCTTGTAGAAAATCCATCAAAGCCATAGGGTTTTAATGATATTTCATATGGCAGAATAAATTCACAATGCGTTTTTTATAATCGTGCATCACGTTTGACCTTATTGTACAGATACAACTCAAGAATTGGCACTTAATTAGAATTTTGACTGCACCTACCATTGACTTGCATAGGAGTTGTGATGAATTACTTCTTAATTCTTCATTAAAATGTTCTTTGGGGCATTGTGAGTAGTGTGTGCATCTTGGGCGACTTTTCTCCTGTTGTAACCTACATAAACGCATATATGAAGTGAGCTAAGTACTGTAGCGGACCACGGGTAACCCGACTGGTTACCTCCACTAATTCCTTCCTTCAGCCACTCTGGAACCATTAAAGCATACAGACATCCAATCCCCCAGTAACCAGACGAAACATAGTTCGGGGAGTCATCTGATTTTATTTTGCCCACACACAGCTTTTATGCACAGACCCCTACATGGGGTCTACCATACAATAATACAGGACTTTTCCTCCCAGAATCCTCCACAAAAAAACATACAATATTCTAAAACATCCCTAAAATACATTTTAATAACTTTGGAACCCCACAAAGTTGGTTCGGTAAACGAATGAGGGGGGTACAGACAGTCGAACAAAGGAAATAAAAATGTAGTTTGGTCATCTATCCCGCTACCTATATAATAACTCCCGAACGGAAAAAGGGAGAAATACACAAACATGGGCAAAGTATACAAAATTGGCGGCAGGTTCCGCCACAGTTACTAAAAGGAAAAAGTAGAGGTTTGGAGATTATGGAACATTAAGGAAAATTATGTCTGCTTCATTATTCCATAAAATAAAATGTGGGGGTTGAATGTACCTTGAACACATTTGCTTCCCTGCTGTGCTGTAATGGATCAAACTCCGTGCTGTCGATGTTGGTTTATAGGAGCTGTTCTGGTACATTTTGTGGGTAGCACATTATGGCTGCTAGATACAAAGCTCACTCAGTGTCTCAGTTTATAGCTGTATCTCTGTTTGTGGAGGTCACACACATTTGTCAAGCGTGGGCCAAATAATTGACATTCTCATACACTGAAACTCATTCTATTACGGTGTTCAAAGGTGCTGCTCACTCCCAGGAGACTATATTTGTGCCATTCCAGAACTCATCCATTTTTGACAGAAATAAATGACGAGCTGTCACTATCAGAAGTAAATAATGGGCACATTTCAGAATTCAGAGCAGCCCTGCTGAATAATCTATCTTGAGGCAGGATGTTTAAATATGATGTTTATGTACAAGACAGCAGACAGTCCTTCTGTATGGACACGGCAGATATTACTACTGTATGAACACGGCAGATATTACTACTGTATGGACACGGCAGATATTACTACTGTATGGACACGGCAGATATTACTACTGTATGGACACGGCAGATGTTACTGAACACTGTTACTACTGTATGGACACGGCAGATGTTATTACTGTATGAACACGGCAGATGTTACTACTGTATGGACACGGCAGATATTACTACTGCATGGACACGGCAGATATTACTACTGTATGGACACAGCAGATATTACTACTGTATGAACACGGCAGATATTACTACTGTATGGACACGGCAGATGTTATTACTGTATGAACACGGCAGATGTTACTACTGTATGAACACGGCAGATATTACTACTGTATGAACACGGCAGATGTTACTACTGTATGAACACGGCAGATATTACTACTGTATGGACACGGCAGATGTTACTACTGTATGAACACGGCAGATGTTATTACTGTATGGACACGGCAGATGTTACTACTGTATGAACACGGCAGATATTACTACTGTATGAACACGGCAGATGTTACTACTGTATGGACACGGCAGATGTTACTACTGTATGAACACGGCAGATGCTACTACTGTATGGACACGGCAGTGGTTACTACAGTATGGACACGGCAGATGTTACTACTGTATGGACACGGCAGATATTACTACTGTATGGACACGGCTACTGTATGACACGGCAGATATTACTACTGTATGAACACGGCAGATGTTACTACTGTATGAACACGGCTGTGGCAGATATTACTACTGTATGGACACGGCAGATGTTACTACTGTATGGACACGGCTACTGTATGAACACGGCAGATTACTACTGTATGAACACGGCAGATGTTATTACTGTATGAACACGGCAGATGTTACTACTGTACTGTATGGACACGGCAGATATTACTACTGTATGGACACGGCAGATGTTACTACTGTATGAACACGGCAGATGTTATTACTGTATGAACACGGCAGATGTTACTACTGTATGAACACGGCAGATATTACTACTGTATGGACACGGCAGATGTTACTACTGTCTGAACATGGCAGATGTTACTGTATCGACGCGGCAGATGTTACTGTTTGAACACGGCAGAAGTTACTGTATGGACGCGGCAGAAGTTACTACTGTATGGACACGGCAGACTTTCCTTCTTTATGGACATGGCAGACAGTCCTGTCTAAACACAGCAAATGTTCCTTCTGTATGAACATGGCAGCCATTACTTATGTATGAACATGGAAGACCTTCCTTCTATAGGAACATGGCAGGTGTTACTACTGTATAGACACGACAGACATTCCTTCTGAATGAACACTGCAAATGTTACAGCTGTTTGAACACGGCAGGCGTTCCTTCTGTATGAACACGACAGATGTTATGACTTTATGAACAGGGCAGATGTTATGACTGTTTGAACCCGGCAGACATTCCTTCTGTATGAACACGGCAGACGTTATGACTGTTTGAACGCGGCAGATATTCACTCTGTATGAACACGGCACACTGGATGTTAGTGGAGACACACTGGATGTTAGTGGAGGCACACTCCGTATAAAAACAGCAGAAATTTAGCTTGTTAGGTTAACTGCTAACCTACCTTGATGAGTTGTCAAAATTGGTTCACGTTATTTTCTTATAACCTGCCCCCTGCTTCTTTAGACATCCTCAATATTGATCAAGCGTCCCTAATCCTGCACTTTCTCCAAATGATGTTGAGGGTTCATTTGTCTATATGGTGCCAATCCCACACCCGGCTAACAATCTCACCCATGTGTCTGTAAAATAAAATGACATAAAGGAGTTAGTAATATCATGTTCCTAATTTTCGATCGGTGCCCATATATTCTGACCTGTGACCGGGTTCTGTGGTGGCAACCAGACCATTTAAAGCTAGCCAGATGCATTCATCTCATTTCTAATCTGTTGGTTTCTGTGTAATGCTGGCTGGGGTATAAGCTAGCAGCTCTCTAATAGTTGATCGCGTGTGTGAATTACCAGCTCTCACTGCAGACTGCATTTATGTTACTTTGTTCCATATTCTCTGCCGAGTGTTTTGTTTTTAAATTATACACGCAAGGACACCCGCTGTTTACTTCTATATAGAGAGTGACCTAATATAGTCAGATTATAGTGATTAGCCACTGAGTGAAAAAAAAACACAATGGCAGCCGCGAGTCCATGAACCCGACCTAATAACAGCAGAAATCTGGAAGCGAGTGGGCTTTGAAAGCTGTAATTTAACGCCAATTACAGTATTATTCACACACCTTTGTTTACAAAAGGCTTAGAGGATTCATAATTAACTGTGTTTCA